ATACAGTGTGTCCAGTATTATTCAACTGTGTACAAAATGAATGCACTAATATAAGAGGTTGGACAGTGTTCTACGACGTTGTGCAGATCAATCAGTCGTCACTTTCTTGGTTCCACCGCCTTCTTTCAAATTGTATCCTAATATCCTTTGGCCATATTGTACCAGTGTCTCTTTGAGTCATCTCAATCTGAAAACAGAACTCGAGCATGAATAAAAGTAAAGAACCGCTATAAGAAACGGCAACATTCCATATTTTCTCCACATATAGTGCGGAAGGAGATGGGGCAAGCAAACTGAGTTGGAGACGTCCGGGAAAACGCAGAAATATGCCCTTGCACTTGTGAAGGCAGGATGCTGATACGTCTCCTTTAGCCCATACTAGAAGGGTGTCGCACATGGACTCTCTCTACATGCCGGCGCCGCACAACCATACAACGTTTATTGTATACACCGAGCCACCGGAAAGCGAAGGAGTGGCAAAAGATGAGCGAAGTTTGGGATAAGGCATCAGAACGACCTTCCAGTCATCTGGAAGGTCGTACTGATGCCACCATTACATATCCTCGATCTAGACTGCGTGTGAAGTGAGGAATGGTGTTTGTCACTATGCCATCATTTTGAGAACAAGCAGCTACATAAAAATTAGACTGGGTTACCATCACCTTCCAATTACAAAACTGGCAGAGTCAGACGTAACTAAAATTTTAAAAGAGTACATCTAAGTATCCCGTTCAGTACAACAGAAGGAAATGCCTATGGACTACTTTGGGAGCGAATAGTAATAGTCAATTGCTCAATTGTTTCTGAGCGGAGCGCCCAAATTGAAACCTTCAGATGAAGCTAACGGTCCCACACCTTGACATACCATATATGTCACTCCACGAAAAAAAAGTGGTGCTGCGATGGCACCTTGTATCTCTACGAGTCGCAGCAAACATTGAGCAGTGCAAAAATTATGTTGCGAGAACTTACGTACCTCGCTTTTGTGGTCTTTTCGTCGGATTCTGTATTTCGAAAACAGCATAGATAGCGTGAGTTTGATCTCCATCAGGGCAAATCGCATGCCAACACATTGCCGTGGGCCCAATCCGAAAGGCATGAAAGCACGAAGCTGTTTGGTAGTGAGTGAATGAAATCTGGAACCAGACAATCTAGTATGGAGCATTCGCATCGCTTGACGTAACCGCCAAGCGGGTTCGAAGAAGCTAGTACCTTTCAGGACGGAATTCTTCCACATCATCTCCCCATATTTCAGGATTATGATGCAAAGCCCACTGATCAATAACGATGCAGGTACCTTTCCGGAAGTAATACTCTCCCACTTGACAGTTTTCCATACAAAGGCGATGTTGAAGACTGTTAAGAAGAGCGGATTATTATTTTGGTCCCATAAGGACATGATTACAAGGTTGAAAATAAGGCAAACGACAAAGCGACATTCATAAGTTACGCTGTGGGAGAGAGGAAGAATCCGCTCAATTATTATCATTTTGTAGCAGAAACAGTTGCAACTCTGCAGCACAAAACGAAGGAAATTTGATGACGTCCCTTCGTTTTGCACTGCTTATGGTCAGAAGTGAATAAAAGAATCATACGGTGAAGCGTGTGGAAACAATCGCAGTGTTTCGAAGACGCAGCAGTGAAGATATTCCATGGATTGAATGTTGCCGTATGTAAAGGAGTCAGTATCGTCAATTTCTTTCAGAAGAATTTCCTGAAACAGGTCGTTTCAATTGCGACAAGCACAAGAATTGAGCTCTACTAAACACCTGTTTGTCCTCATTTCTTGCAAGCAGCTCACATATCAGTGCCAAAGTGTTTGCTGTTGTGTCAAATCCGGCTACTGCAATGAATCGGCATTGGGCAACAGTTTCCTGAGTAAAAACAATGCTCAACATAATCAAATAATAACCCTTATCAAAGTCACTAACCCTGAAAAAACTTTGGAACTCAAAACTTACACCTGGTGCCATAGTTTTGTTGACACGGAAAGAAGTGAAGTCAATTTTGCCGCTGACATGTTCCATGAGAAAACCGTCGAAAGAATTATCCTCTGCATCTTTGAAAAATTGAAGAAAATCGGCCTTTGCAGCATGTGGCTCTCGATCTCTTCGTAGCATCGCAAGGTGCTTCGAGAACATCACCATGGGCGGAACAGAACCCGATGTAGAAATGTAGATCATTTCAAAATATTTCTTCAGTCCTCGAAGGAGTTTTGACAGTAGAGGAAAGCACACTGAAACATGGATCTGATGTTATGGCTTAGTGCTAATTTCAGCTGAATCTTTCTCGAGGTGGACAGCACAGTGGCACAGCTCAGCGCGTGCATAGTCTGGAGTTACAATTCTATTTCCCAGTGAGTTAACCAAGCCTTCCGTCCTCTGAGGCTGGTTAGTTAGTCTCGGACTCATACGTCAGGAAACATTGATTTCTTTACCGGCAAGACTCTGTAATTTGTGCTGTGGGCCGTTGTGTTGCATTCAAAATGCCAAAAAGATCACGAATAGAAGCAGATGGCGTGATGCATCTCAGTAAGGAATTGGTCCACGCTGAGAGCGCTGAGCTCCTTTCCTTTTTCAAAACGAGGCTGTTGACGAGGGCATTTAAAGGAACACTTCTGTGAAACGGAGTCTATCATAATAGAGATTTCGCTTAAGGCTAGGACAGAGTATATATGTCGCTATTAGCGTGAGCGGCGTCACACGCGCGTCTGATCGCGATCCAATGCTAAAATTCATAGACAGCTGCTTCTTCAAACGTAGTCGCTTATTTCCTTCTCTCCTCTACCTACTTCAAGCTTTCATTTTCGTCCTTGTCTTAATCTAATTCTTTTTCTCACTCCGTTTTTACTACTTCGCCTGTTGTTATCTTTTAACGCCTTGAAACAATGTCAGATTTTTCAGATGCATAATCTTTGTTGACTGCGCATGGCCGCTCGTTTGCTGGGGTGAGTTCTCACCTTTATGTACTTTTGCTTCTCTATTTAATACATTTAGAATGGTATACAGGGGTTTGAGAGCCTTCTTCCTCGCCGCGTTTTCAATAGACCTTCCGCACAGGCCCTTTGTTCTGAAGATGAGTAGTATCCCATCGTTTACTTTTCCTCTTTGTGCTATAATGTGATGCATCGCTTTTCCAGTCCATGTTCATTATGGTCACTCATATTAGCATAGTTTTTTCTTTGGCGGTACTTCGTTTGTTTCTCTTCATTGTTTTCCTGTCATACGAACGTTTTTGAAGCTTATTTTACGTGGCTCTTTTCGTCTGTTCTGCGCAGAGGTTCGATTTCGTAGGTGCGTTCTTAGAAGGACAAGTGAAAGAATAGGTCGAAGTTGCAGCGGTCCATTCAATCCTAGCATTGGAGCGCCATCTAATCAAACACGCGCACGACGCGATCATTCGTACGACCAAGTTCGTCGTACGAGCGATCGTGTCGTACGCGCGGTTT